GCGGCGCGCCTCCGTGACGTTCTTGGCCGCTGACTTGCAAAGACGAGTGTTCTGCTTCACATTGTTCACTAGGAACCTCTGCAGCTTGGGACAGTCCACGGCATCTGGAAACCAAGGCAGCTCCTTGTTGGGGTTCTCTCCATCTTCAAGCATTGCCACCAGGTATAATCTCGGCCTGTTGTGCGGGATCGCACCGTGGGTGCAGTTGTTCATGATCTGCGCCTGGCACTTGTAACCGGCCGTTTTCAATACCTTCACGATGGCATTGAATATTGGTTTGTTCTTTGCATTCACAAGGCCGCTTACGTTTTCAAATATTGCAAGCTTTGGTTTCCGGGTCAAGACATAGTCGACCGAGCTCAGCAAGACACAGCTTCTGCTGTCTCCCAAAGATTTGCGGAGGCCAGCGTTGCTGAATGGCGGACACGGTGCCCCTGAAATGTAGACATTGCATGAAGGAGCCGTTTCATTGTTCCGAGCCGTAATGTCCCCAAACACGATCTCCTGAAAGAGAAGCCAAACAAAACAAATCAAGCAAAGACTTGTTACTTAAACACGAGCACTTACACTTTTAAGAAAAATGCAGAAAGTTAGCCAAGTCACCGGTTTGTCTTCATAGTGTGCATGAAGTTCCAGAGCCATCATTCTCCGCTCTTCATCGATGTCCTTGAATGGAGTTTGAACAACACCAATGATCATAATAAAATAAATCAATCGTCGTTCAACCAAATCAAATGTCGAGCGTCGGAGATGAAAGCGGTCTCCAGCTTCAACTTGTTCCCAAAGGCCAACTTCAGGCTCACAAAATCAGACCCCAGCCCGCAGCAGTCGGAACCCAGAACAATGGTGCCTTTCTTGAAAGGGCTTGGCGGCTTAGACTTGCGAGAAGACTTTGCCTTGTCCACCAACTTCTGCAAGAGCATTCGTGCAAACTTCCTTAGGGCCAAATGTTGAAGTCAATGTCAATCAACATATTTCTTGCGCAAAAGTCAATCAAACATGGTATCAACATGAACTTACTGTAATTATATGTAATTATTATCCATGCGTCTCTTGAGCGTCTCCCTCGCCGACATCCTTCGTGGTCGACTCAGTCTTAAACTTGGTCGTCTTGGTCTTCTTAGTCTTTGTCTTCAACCGCTTGATGACCCCTTTGCAAGGCCGACCTCCCGACGATGCCCCTTTGATGTTTTGGTTGAACACTTCCACCGCTGCAAAGTCCAGGTCCATGGATGATGGCAAAGGGCAGGACCGGCACAGGACCGGCACAGGACCGACAGGGCTTGATCCCAAGTTCTGAAAAAGTCACAGAACTGAAATATAATACTGAAACATGTCAATGCAAGCCTACAACTTGACCCAAAGGTCTGAAAAGTTTGAACTGATGAAATGAACCAGGCCAAAGTCAAGCCGGTCATGCCTTGCAGGTTTTGTCAGCCAAGAATCAGATAACATCAGTCTCAGACTCAGGCGCTGTGGCCCAGTCACCGCTGATGAACCCAACATGATCGATGGCATGAGGGCATGGGGGCCCTGTCAAAAAGCTTCCGAAATAGGCTCCCTTTGGCCATTCAGCTGCAGCGTTCGCCGGAAGCATCGCTGTCCGCCTCAGATGACTCAATCAGATCGGTCTTGGGTTTCTTGTTCGGCTTGGGATCCTCGCCGCCGCCCTTGTTCTTAGTGCCTCGAGGTTTTGGCTTTGCTTCGGGCTTTGGTTTGGCTTCAGGCTTTGCCTTCGCCTTCGGCCCGGGCTTTGGCTTTGGATCACCCCCACCAGCGTCGCCAGCACCAGCAAGTGCACACCACTCTGGGCTGTAGAACGTGCTCCCTTCTTCAGTCATCTTCTGCTTGACGAACTTCACCAGCTCGGCCTTCAAAAGGCTGGCATGGGACTCAGTCAGCGTCATGCCTAGGAAGGGGATCCTCTGAAGTAGCGCTGCTTTCGCAAGGCTGCCACATCCCGTGGTCAAATCCACCACAGCTCGCACCTCATAGGCCTTCAAAGCGTTCAGGTAGAAGGTTGTCGGGAGGTGGTGGAAGAAGACTGGCTCATAAGCTCCCCCATCGCGAACCTCCTCTTTGTCCTTCTCCTCGCTCGTCGGGGCATCGCAGCCAACCATCTTTGCTCCATAGAGCTCTTTCTTCGGCGGGTCTCAGAACAATTTTCAATGACTGACAAATTCCAAGGAACAATCATGAACAAACATATTCCTTCTCTCTTATCCATCATCTTAATATATACTGGTAAAAACGCCCAAATATGCCCAAATCTTAGTTTAAGCTTCTTCTGGTTGAAGGTCAGTGACCACTCCTCAGCTGGAGGTGGTAGCCCAATCCAACCAATGCAGTTGCCTCTGTTACTGCCAGGGTACTTTGAGTGTTTGCGTTCCGGGATCCAGGATGACAACGGTTCTGTACCGATGACGTGCCATCGTTGAATCTGATTGATAGATCCTCGATTGAGCTTCCGCTTGCTCTCCACTGACTCCTGTACATTGGGGCCGGATTTGACTACTATTTGATTGTTTGCTTCAAGCCCCCTAAAACATGTGTGTTATAGACTTAATCCAGTTTGAGCTCAATGACACAAAGTTGGTCCTGGCTCAGGCAAAGGGTGATTTCGGTTGTGTCCAGGTAGTGGGCAATGGAGGCTTTGCCCGTCTCCTTGGCCTTGAAAGGAGAGAGCAGGGACTCAAGCACATTGCGGCCACCATCGTTCAGGAACACATAGTCACCGTCCAATGGCTTGTCGTAGTGATCATCACCGACCTTGGAGTTGGGGCTGCACCCCCGCCCTTTCAAAGCACCATGCACAAGCTTCTTGACAAGCGCAGGACTCAATGGCGGGAACCGCCTGTCTGGCCGCTTCAAGGATTCACCAAAAAGCTGCGCATCAAAGTGGATCATGATGCACCCTTTGCCCTGCGCACCCAGATGCTGTGCAACATGTGATTCTTTCACCACCTTGGCTACTCCTGCCATTGTGGCTGGCTCTGGGACCAGGCTCACATAGATCTGAACCTGCTCCGCGGCGGTAGCGACAAAATGCCTCAGTGACAGATCAATGATCGATTCCGTAAACTTGACAATCAAAAGCATAACAGTGAGTTAGAAGAACATCTAAAGTTTGTGGTTTGAATCCAAGGTACTCACGAGATCCTTTTGGGTACTTGGATGGCTGTGGCGCCAAGCTTCCCTCGGCGATCTGGGTGCAAACATCTTCTTTGGCATTTTTGCCATCCTGTTGGTACAATGCCTTCTCCGCCGCCAGCTCGTTGTTCTTGGCAGCCAAGCAGGGCTGCCACCGGACATTGAACGTCTCAATGTCGAGAAGTTCGAGCGGGCTCACACCTTTGCCCTTCTTCAAGAGCACAACCAGCGGTCCATTCAAAGTCACGCTGTAGAGAAGGTCCTGCAAACACAGCTAAAAAACAAATCAAAAACAAAAACTATAAATTAAGAACGACTAAGGCTGAAAGAACACTCAATACAAGAACAATGTCGTCCTCCATCAGCCGTAGCACCAGCAAGCTTGAGCCTTTCAAAGAAGACATCCACTGAACCTCTGCAAGGATAGAGCTGTCCGTTGTCTTGCTCGGATTCACATACTTCCTGTAGTTCTTCACTGTCATGATCTTCTCATAGATCATCTTCAGATCCTCCGTGTCGAACTGGTTCCTTGGCAGTTCCACCTGCAAGGGAATTGAAACAAATTAGAAACAGCATCATTCATTGATACACCGGCTTCAAGAACACACGAACCGAACCTGCAAAAAGTGCTGTACAGTGCTTCGCTTCAACTTCAGCAGTTCAACCAGCGATGCGCTGGTGCCACTCCCTTGCAAATATCCTTTGCTAATGGTATCCTTGTCCAGCTGCCCATTTTCGATCATGTCGCAGAGCACCTGCAGGACCCATTGCCCGAGCAAAGTCAAGTTGCGCAACTTATCACTCAATTATTTTATGTTTTGATATACACCATACACCAATGACGCCAACAATCAATGACCGCTGGCCTTGTCTCGAGGTTCTCGCTCTTCTCAATGACGACCCGAAGCTTGCTCAGCGAATTCAAGGTGAACCCAGGCCAAACAATGCTTCTAAGCGATCAAGGACTTGATTGCAGTCTGGGTCGGACAACATTTTGTCATAGACATACAAGCAATCCTTGACAAATCCGTCGGCCATGTCACCCTGACGAGTAGATTTGGCCATCAGGTCTTTCTTTTCACCGAAAAGGTCCGTGATATCCTTGATGGATAGGGATTCTCCTGTTTCCTTCTCCTTCTTCACCTTGAAAGCACGGACCTCATGCGCAAGTTGTCGAGCTGACCGCTTGACACAGTCATAGGAGGCAATGACTTGCTGTCTTTTGCGAAAGGCTTCCCAAAACATCTGGTCGTCGTTGCCCACGATGGTAATCACGCAAGGAGCCGTCAAAAAGATTTTTCGCCAATCCTGGAGACAGTCATCGTCCACCTGAAAGGCATAGAAAAGAGATGAACACAAGCCTTAATAGTTTAAAATTTGTATTATCGTTTCAAAAATGAAATCAACATCAGTCTTGAATGATTCGTTTTGCACCTGCCTTGTCCTCAATGCACTTGGCCAATGCAAAGATGAGACTGTGCTGCATCTCTTCAGGACTGATTCCTCGCCACTTTCCACGCTTCCCCAAAAGGTCCACATCCGCAGCATCGGTGGCTACATGAAAGTTCTCCTGGAGGTGTCTCGGAGTTTTTCCATCAGGATAGGCGAACTGCCCCAGCTCCACGACGCGGGAATGGTCTAGGGGGACTGCAGGTGTGATAGATGCAAACGGGTCAATCCAAAGAAGGTTGATCCCGCAGCGGTATGTGCCCTCCTTGCGCAAGGCTATCTCGCATGCCTTGCTGTTGAAGGGTTCCTGGCCGAGTCATTATTAAAATAAGCATGGTAAATCAATCGCAGCATTTCTTTTGCTTGAATCAACGACTTGTCAAATAACCCCAGCCTGCACCCCTGAAGTCTTAGCTCCATCAACAATGGGTAGCGCCTCTGCAGTTTGGATGTCACAGAAGTTGTGGTTGGCTAGGATGACATTCATGCTGTCCATAAGCTTCTCGTAGTAGCTGGTGTTGGCCTCCGGTGGCAGGCTGTCCTTGTCAATGTAGGTCCCAGCAGTAGTGGCAACAGTGGTAACAGTTCCAGATTTCTTGGCGGCCGCTCGGGCCATTTTCTGCTCCTTCATGGCCTTGTCAGTGAAGAACTCCAAAAACAGTCGGTCGAAATCTTCTGAATTGAGTTGAATGAACATAATGTGTCTTTTTGTGCACATGACAGTTTTTTGGTTTTGTCCTGCACGCCTTGGTCTTGGCCAGTTTGGCCTCGCGCGCAGCTTTCTGGGCATCCTCAACGGTGTTCCCCATAGCAATGCTGCCATCGTAAACCGTCTTCTCGTGTTCCTCTACTTCTTTCTCCTCCTTTTTGTTCAATTTCCACTTAGTCCAATGGTCCGGCATCACGTTGTGACGATGTGGCGGGCGCGGCAGGTCAAGGCAGACAAAGATTGATCTAAAAATTGCGAAATCCACCCGCCCAAGAATCATGATGCAACAAGATTTGTTTCTTGCAAGTCTTTGAAAGTTCATTATTGAACATAATCAGTCCTGCATATTTTTTCCGCGAATGATCACATCAGCCAGAGCGCCTTTGAGACCTGA